TGAATTTGAACTTGAACTCCTGTCTCAAACCCTGCCAGTACTGGGATTGTATGTGTGTGCCACCGTGCCTGGCTTGATCCTATTTTCTTTACTGTAAAAGTTCTGGTTTGTACTCGAGGGTTATCTCCTTATTCTGCTTGAACCTGTGCCCTTTTATTGAGAAAAATGAGGCACTAGCTGAAAAAGGCTGCAAAGGAGAGGTTAGATGTGCCCTTGTGGGGGAAGATGTTCCTTGTCTTTGACAGAGAAGCCACCAGGAGCAGTGACAGAAACACCTTGCAAGTTTCCATTATGCTGTGGGAATCCAAAATTACTTTGAAAAGATGAATTGAGGTTAGATAGCGGATGTCATAGATATAAAACACCTTTGAGAGGTGATAAAACTCTTTTAAAAAACAAAGAAATAAAGAAGCAGCATCACAGGACAACCTGGGCATTGTCATGAACAGTGTGATAGGGCTTTATTCAAGAACATCACTCACGGAATTTTATTCTAATCAAAGTTCCTACTGCTAGAAATCCATTTTGTTTGCTAGATTCAGCCAGGTCAAAATTCACACTATGGTTCTTTTTAATTTTTTAGGCTCTTCTAAGGTTCCTGAAAAATGTCCAAAAAAATGGTTCAGATATTTGACAAATTCATGAAAAGACATCTGTGAAGTTCTCAAATATTTTTGACTGCTTCTATTGCCTTAACTAGGGTTGATGAATTAATAATATTTGAAAGAAACTCTATTTTCCAGTGTAGCATGAGGGAAAAAAATTCCCTTTTTTTAGCTATTCTGAAGGAAGTATTAAAATGACATATATCCTATCTTTTTTGGCTTTTTATCAATTTTTAGAAGTGTTGCTATTAGCATATAAGTTACATGACTTTGGATACTAGCAGAAACCAAGGATAATGCACCACTGGGGAATTTCTTCAGATCAGCCATCATTTTGACAGGTAATAGCTTCCTATAGTAAATTACAGTTATACTATGCTGTAAAACATCAGCAAACTGAGTGAATAAGCAAATGATGAGCAGTTTGATTTCCAACCAAAAGAACTCTGTTAATTTTCTTTGATAATTATTTAGTTTTATGAATAGTCCTTCTTTGATATTATAACCTTTAGAAAGAATAATCTCTAAATCTCAAATTCTGGAAGGTATAAGATGCTTTGTCAAAGATTGTATGAACAATTATTTGCACAGTAAATTCACTCTAAAGCTCTCATATACATCAAAATAAACATGGAAGTGTATAAAATTCAGGCTCCTGGGCTTTTATGAAGGCAGATTCTAATTCAATATATCTGGAGTTGAACTCAAGAACATGGGTTTTAAATCACTACCTCTGGTGATTTTCAGGCTAAAGTTCAGTTGATCACTATACTAGTTTTTTATTGGTGGGTAGTAAACACCACATATTTACCATCTCAATTTCTAGAGGTTCTAAGTCTGGGCATGGCTTGGCCGGGCTGGCCTAGCTCAGGGTATCCCCAGGCTGAAATCAAGATGTTGGCAGGTCTGCATCCTCATCTGAAAGCTCTGTCTCTGAGCTCAGTTTGTCAGTAGGAAATCTATTAATGTCACTTTATCAGATTTGCAGATTTAGGAGGAAATATTGTTTCTTTAACTAGATACTAAAAATTTCATTTGAAAAAATATCTTAAAACTTATAATAATGCCAGCCATAGTGGTGCACACTGTAGTCCCAGCAATCATGGGACTGAGGCAGGAAGATTGCTATGAGCTTGAGGTCAGCCTAGGCTATATAGTCAGTTCAAGACCAGCCTGAAGAACATGGCAAGTTCCTGTCTCAAAAATAAAAATGAGATATGTAGACACATCCTTAAGATTATAAAATCTATCTGTCTCAAGTGAATGAGCAGAAACTCCAGAAATGCATTTAATGTGGAAATACTAGAAGCATGTCTCGCTAAAGCCAGAAATTTGTGGGACTGTCCACTGTTGCCACTCTATCATTATCAACACAGTTAAATAAAACACAGAAATACGAGGTCCTGAAGTTTGAAAGAATAGGAGAAATCACTGGAAGTTGTGTTCCTGGAAAATCTAAGAAAATTCACTAAAAATCATGAAAAATACAAATTTAACAAAGGACAGAAGGAAAAGGAGTATTATTTTACTTATTCATTTGACTTTTATTAGTACATGTCTGTAGTACGTCATGACTACATTCACCACAGGGAATTAGTACATGTACAGAACACATTTCAATTCTTTTTCCTGTCCCTCCAACCCTTTTATTTTGCCAGCATCAGATTCACTTATATATGAGACCTTATAAAGTTAGTTATTATATATATATATATATATATATACCAAAAACCAAATAGTCCAAAAAATATATAAAACACATGAAAATTGTACTAAGTCAAGCTACACTTTTAGATACATTGTGCTGGACTACAATAATTTTTTATCTCTCTTGTTCCATTATCTGTCTTTTATTTTGTACCATATTTATATAGTAAGTTTTTCATATAAGAGAAACCATGCACTATTTAAGCTTGCATGCCTGATTTACTTCACTTAACATCATGGTCTCAAAATGCATTTGTTTTCCTATAAATGACTCAAGTTTATCCTTCTTTATGGCAGAGTAGCACTCCACTGTGTATAAGTACCATCTTTTCTTTATCAGTTTGTGTGTTGATGGACATATTCCTCTTCAAGACTTAGCTATGATGAACTGTGCTGCTATGAACAACAGTATGCATGGATCACTGTGATATGGTGTCTTTAACAATTTTGGGAAGATACCTAGAAGAGGAATAGCTGGAATGGAAGTTTTAGTTTTTTGACCAAATTACTATTAAAATTCAATAGGATTTCTATGTTTAAGCAACAACTTAGAAGATATATTGTATTTAAAACAACTATAAAGAGATAAACGATCTAAGACATGTACAAGATCTTTCTGAAGAAAACTTCAGAAAAACATTCTCGAAGGAAATAAAAATAACTTGAGCAAAAGGAAAGGTATAGCATGTTTTTCAATAAGACGATGAGTATGTAAGATTGCCAGTTCTTCCCAAATCAGTAAGTGTAATATTTTTGAAATAAACAAGTTCATTTAATAATTCTATAACAAAGAGACTGTTAACAATAGCCAGGGGAAAACCAAAATAGCAGAATAAAGATGATGAGTATCCATTCCATCATGGCCCTGGTACTTGATTAAATAAATATATCAGATGAAAAATTAGAAAGTTCAGGACTTCAGCATAGGTAAAAATGGCACAAGAAAATGGAAGGTTACGAAGTGGATGGTATTGAGGCCACTGAATGACCAAGACAGAACATGAACTTAGTCCAGAGCTTGCACTAACATTGGGGGAAATTTCAAGAAGATCAATAATTTTAATGCAAATGTAAAGCCATAAAATGAAGAACTTATGACTGAATTCATTCCTAACTGCAAAGTCTTTCTAATCAGGACACAAAATTCATACAAAAGACTGATAAATTTGAGTATGTAACAAAAATGTACACAATAAAATCCATCACAAGCTAAGGTTAAAAAACAGAGATACAACTAATGGAGAAAAAATATTCGCAACTTATTGAAAATAAGCAGCTAAGTGTCCAGTACAAAAGGAGCTTCTAATAACTGATAAACAAAACATAACAATCCAGCAGCCGAATGGGTAAAGGATGAGCACAGACTGCTTTACAGAAAAGGAAATATGAAGAGCTCTTAAACATTTGAAAGATTTTTTTAGGCTTATCTAGAATAACTTCTTTCAAACACAATGTTTTTGGTACCTATTTTGTACCAATAATATTGGCCTTCTGGGTAGAGGAGGCACAGTGATGAACCTAACATGTGGAGGTCTTTTTCCCTGGAGCCTACATTCTGGTGGAAATGCAAATTAAAGATCCACAGACATAGCTAGTCATGGTTGCACATACCTATAATCTTTGCACTCTGGGAGGCTGAGGCAGGAGGATTACAAATTCAAGCTCAGCCTGGGCAGTTTAGTAACTTCGTGAGATCCTTTTTCAAAATAAAAATAAAAAGGGCTGGGGATGTAGCTCAGTGTGAAGATCCTGGGTTCAGTTATATAGATATAGATATAGATATAGATATAGATATAGATATAGATATATTCATTATTCAGAAAGTTAAATCTCAAAATTTTCCCTATTAAAAGAAAAATTCTGATTAAAACAAAGATTTTCTGAAAGTTCTACAGTATTCCTATTTGGGTAACAGACAAGAAGCAGCATGTTTTTGAATGACTTAAATCTTCTCTGTTGATTTCTTAGGAAGCATCTACCCAAGCTTATCTTCAAATCGTTGTCACCTTCTTTCCATTTATGTTCTGGGCTTTGCATCAGAGAGATTTCTACAAAATAAAACTCACATATATTATGTAGGACTCATCCCAATATAAAAGCTAGAAAAGCAGGACCTCAGATCTTAGGACAGTGAAAGAGATGCCATTATGCAGGACGTGAAGTTTTTTCTCCTGCTTTGAAGTTGGGTGATGATAACATTAGGTGAATAAATAATTTTATAGAGTCACATAGTTAAAAGCAGAGACAGATTAGAATACACCTAATTTAAATTTTTTCTTCTTGGCAAAACAGTCCTTGAAATTGAAGACATTATTAACATTCTCCTTAGGGACATATTTCAACAAAATGTGAGAGAAGGAAGTGTTTGCAGTTAGTTTCCAAACTAAGAGTCTTTTCTTGCTATGTGATATTGTGCCTTTCCATTTCTTTGTACATTGCTTCTTCTTGGCTGTAATTTGGGTCTTGTGCCCAGAAAATGAGCTGAGAAGGCAAAGGAAAGAAAGAAAGGGACAAAGACAGAGTTGGGAGAAGTAGGTTAAAAGTTTGTTGTAGGCAGGAAATCTAGTGAGTGATGGAAACTGGCCAAATCCTTTTTGGATGTAGGGCAGGGCTGTCTGTCTGCACTTCCTACATTAGAAGATATTGCATCCTTTTTGCACTAACACAACTCTCTTTTTTAAATGATAGAGCCCGCTCGGGTTAAGGAAGTGCTTCCCCCAATACCAGAACTAGAGGTTCCTTCTTCACTGCATCAGTGAGATCGATATTACGAGGTGAGTGATGATACGGCTTTATTGACTATTTGGCTTGTTCATTATAAGCATGAGTGATTCAAGGAGGTACAGTTCACCCTAAACTACATTTCTATCTGGGTGTAGGAGGAAAAAGTGGTCACCCTGGAAAAGTGATTGCATATGAATCAGAGACATGAACTAAAATCACTACTTTCTCTAAGATGTAGGAAGGATCAGTAAACTAATCTCTTCATCTATTAGACTAATCTCTGCGTCTGTTAAACTGCCCCTGAGCTGTCAGCTCATCCCTGAGCACTGTTTATCCCGGAGTTGACCTACAATTCAGTCACAGCATGAGAAGAGAGAGAATGAGATCTGTAAAGCAGAACTCTCCCCTGCCCCGCCATTCCATACTGGAATAAGACACTTCCTTAAATCCAAAGAAGTTAAATTCACTGGTAATCTTGATAACTGCACATTGATTTCCACTGATTCAAATACAGAATCAAGAACTGTGCTCAGAAGTATCATAGAAACTTTTTTCAGTTACTCGGCCAAGATTTATCAAGTAGCTACTATGTCAAAAGTGCTCTGCGGCCATTGTAGGGTGTATAAAAGTTATAACAGGGCAGAATTGGGAAAGCAGTGCTTATATCCTCTCACTGTGCTTGGTGGTGACTGGCTGTATTGTTTACTCTTCATAATACTGGAGTGGTTATCTGTCAGGGTCCTCGCAGGAAGCTGATGTCATACTCAAAGTGAATAATTAGGCAGAGTTCAATGTGGGGCATAGTAAACAGGATATGGGGGAACAGAAAGGGAGAATGCAGCCCCCTGGGACTGCGGCAGTGGGCAAGGAACTGAAGGGACAGGAACCCAGAGAGAGAGAGAGAGAGAGAGAGAGAGAGACAGATGCATTCCTCACCCTGATGCAGGGAGAATATGCCGGAGGGCTGTGTGGCAGGGGCCGTGACCTCTGGGATGGGGACAGCACAGCCTGTGGTTGCCCTGAAGAGAGAGAATAAACACCCACTGTGCTGTCGTCCCCTGTCCTCTCCATCAGCCAAGCCCACGTGAGGCAGCCACACTGGAGCCAGCGGAGGTGGTTAGTGGAGGGCAGATCAGACCTGGAGAGGCAATAGCAGGGCCCACCACAGATGGCTCAGGCTGCCAACCTGCAGCTGAGTGCCGGGATACATCTGTGGTCAAGGTTTATGAGCAAGGCTTAGGGGACTCACCCAGTGCCGTGGGCTCAGAGATTCCTAGGGAGAACAGAGGGCAGTCAGACGGTCGTTTCCACGCCATGGTACTGGACACGATGGTTGATGTGCTCACTTTGCTCCTCATTTCAGGATGCTCAACCTTGCCGATGAAGTCGTCCACCAAATGAGTGCCTACTGTGTACCAGCAACTCTTCTGGCAAAAATAACAAAGCAGTCGGTGGTGGGGCCAGAGTAGGAACGAAGCCTCTGATTCCAGTGAAGAGTGTCAAGTAACATAACAGAATGTTCAAAGGGACTAGGGGAGCACAAGAGAGAGCCCCACAATCAGTGGGTTACACAGAAGTCTGGTGAGTGGAAGGTTAAACCCCGACTTTTATGCCTTTCTTCTAGGATTACTGAATGTAACAAGTGACAGAAATCTTATGGAACACTTGGGCTTGCATTTAGCAGATTTAGAAAGTAAACCACATGCCAGGCGTGGTGGTACATGCCTGTAATCCTAGCACTCAGGAGGCTGAGGCAGGAGGATCCTTGCAAGTTTGAGACCAGCTGGCGAAGACCTGGGTTTCCTGATCCTAAGCCCAGAAATTTATTATCACTACTTGCATTGTCCTCTTAGGAATATACGAGGGGACTCTGCTGTGGGAGGAGGGGAAAGGACTCTTCAGCAACCCGAGGCAGATTTGTGGTGCTCTTCTAAGACCGTTTTAATAAATGATTTAAAATTATTATTATTTTTTATCAATTATGATTTGAGCAATACTTAACAAAAGTCTTGTGTGGATAATGTCTGCTTGCTTTGGAAAAAAAAAAAAAAACCCTTCAGAATATCCCTGGGCAAACTCGACTGACCTCTCTTGAAGAATATTTACAGGTTTATTTGGGGACCAAGAAGGCTGGGGGATGTTTGGGTCCAGCTGAGAATGCACAAAAGGAAAACAGCAGGAACAGGGAGCTACTTGATGAGAACTAATTCGAGAGAGTTTGTTTGACCCACGGGAGCGAGGGAGTGAGTGTTTTCAGAGAGCCACTCTGAGGGTGGAAGACAAACTGGGGAAACCCACAGGAGAACAAGAGAATTGCCTCTTCCTTTCCCATCATTACACAGCTCAGATTATATGTGCCAAGATTTTAATTTTGTGGAATAAGAGTGATGAAGACAGAAAAATCCTTTTTCTCATTGGGCCACATTGGTGATGCTGATTGGGTGATGTTTCCTATATGGATGGATGATTTCTTTTTGGCAAATTACTTAAGAGGGCCTGGACTGTTTGTTTATACATTTGTTTATATTTATAAATCTTGCCTTCTTTTGGCCTTAGGATGGTTTTTGAAAACAATTCAAGGATACAAAAATAAAATGAATTTTAATGAAATAATTGAGTGCTTAAACTTAATAGCAAAATGTTTTCTCTGATTTCTTTGGCTTTTGTAATTGCTATACCATCAGTGATGTTAAGAATAATTATAGCTGTTAATCACAATAATACACAAATATTGACAAGGGGACAGCTCTTAAATATTGGAAAATATTCCCAGAGTTAAAATGAAACTTAGTTTTCTGATATCATTATATGAGTAAGATTGCTTAACTGAGTCGACTTCCAGGTTTAACTGCAGGGTCAGGCTTAACATTAAGTGCTGGGGTTTGGAGATGCTATCCCAAGTTACAGCACTTTGGTGTACTGAATATTTTAAGCTGAACAAATTCAAGAAAACAGAAGAAGTCAGATCACTCTCATCTTCCCCCGAGTACATTTCTTTGCTGAAGCAGATAATAAAACATTTTTGGTCTCCTCTTGTCCTGCTATAAAGACCCTCATGTGAGAGGTCTCATCCCTATATGCAGAAGGAAGGAATATCCTCACTCTCCAAAGACACAGGGCATAGAAAACTCTGAGCAGACAGGCCTCGCTGGGTTCCCCCCAGCTTACCGCCATGAGACGTACTACATATGTCCTATCATATTTCGCCATGACTCTATGCTTCATCAAACCTATTATTAAAAAGGCTCAGTTTCACCCTTTCTTAGGATCTTCATTTCCTTTTGAAACCTCTTGTCTCATGTCAAACTTTTTTAAAGAAATGAGTATATATTTTCTCCTGTTGATTGCTGTAGAGGTCTCAGCCATGAACCTAGAAGGGTAAAAGTAAAAGGTGGTTTTCTTCTCCTACATAAGCAGCGTAAACAGGAATGAATGCTCCAGTGCCCAGAGATTTTTCTGGTACCTGTTTTTTCCCCCTAGATCACAAACTAAAATTTTAGTTGTAAAATTCAGGAATTGAGGATTTGGCAAGTGGAATTCTATGAGTCTTACTTTTTCTTGTCTGTGTACTCCTAATTAATAGGTGAGTCAGCTCAGGTCTGGGATTTGCTAGTATTTAGGATGTCATACTCTGTGAGGCAGGGATATTATACAATTTCTGAAGAGCCAAATTATTGTTTCTCTGCAGACCACCTGTTACATTCTGACAGATTACTTGGGAATCAGTGGGAATTTGGCTTACAAAGGGCATAAATTAAGCATCAAGCTTTGTTAAATTGTGGCAGATCTTAGAAGGCAATTTCACTTATTTATTAAAATAACAGACTTTAGCAGACAGTTGGAAGCACACGTAGGTGTAGGAGCTGGTAGGGGAGGCCGAATATGCCTACCACTAGTTAAAATCCTAGACACAATAGAGTACACAAGTGTCGTTTACAGCATGCTGGCTTCCTGCTGAGAATTTACAGACCAATAAAACCTCTGGCCGAAGGAATCAGGACAAGCTGCTAGAGAAGGTGGCTTTGAGCAGGCTCTTTCCCAGCCTCTCAGACTCATCAAACCTCCCAAATATACACTTTCTCACCCCCATCTGCAATACCTATTATTTGCAATTATTTTTGTGATTAGAGATTCATGTCTGTCCCTGTCTCTAGACTGGAAGGCACCCAAGGGGAGGGAACATGCTGGTTCTGCTCGTGTAGCTAGTGTGGTGTCATGAAAGATGTTGGCTGTAAATTCACCAGTTGGTGAATTCACCAACTGGTTATTCATAAGAAGACGGAATTGATGATCTACCTAGCAGGGTCTTCTAGCACAACAATGATGTGCTAACTTGATGGCAGGTACTGTATATGTGTGTTCTCACATCATGATTCTGTGTATCATATATATATTTTAAACTATACTTCTTCTATTAGTACTACTTCTATTAGTCCACTTCCCATTATTATAACACAATGCCTGAGGCTGAGTACTTTAGATAGAAAGAGGTTTATTTAGATCACAATTCTAGAACTTCAAGGGCATGGAGCTGGCATGGGTTCAGGTCTGGTGGAGATTTCATAGTGGGTAACATCACGGTGGGAACACCTGGGAGACAGAAATCACACAGTGAGACAGGAAACCAGAGAGGAGGGACAGGCTTCCTCTTTTAGTAATACAGTAACCCACCTTTAAGGACTAGCTTGGGCCCGCATGAGAGCTGCTTAATCCGTTATCTCTCTGTCAGTAGATAACTTTTGTCTCTCACTCTTTTCCAACTATATTCCTCTCCTTTCCCCCAACACATGATAGAATAAAGATGTGGGCTCAATTTTGTGACAGTTTATTTTCTTCCTCCTCTGTCTCTCTATTTCCTTTACTTCTCTTCTTCTTTTTCTGCTGTGTACATAGTTCTTAATCATCCTCAACTCTTTGTGCTGTTCTGATGCATGGTGATTTTTGGGTAACGAGTGGAGGAGAGTTCTTACATTTAAAAAAATCTAAATGAGGCATCATCAGATGAGCTGGAGGCATGATGACCAACAGCTACATTTAAAAACTCCTCTGTGGATTATGTACTTCTGTACTGGGAATTATGTACTTCAGTGAAAACAGAGGAGTTAGTCTAGAAACTCCTGCAATGTGAAGGAAAACTGTAGCATGTCTACTCAGGCAGCGGGAAAACAGATTATTTTAGAAATAAGAAAACTTCACAAAGTCATCCAGATGAGTTCTTTTCTACCCTGAGAGTTAAGGCTGTTAGCAGAGCCTATTATGTTACTATGGAGATAACTATTACTGCAAGAATACAGTTTTGCAGGTTATCAGCCAAGATACTTTTATCAGCTATTAATGGGAGGCTCAAGTCAAAATGACTTAGATGATGAGATGATTTATCATCTCACCTAGTGAGGAATTCTGAATAGGGTGCTCTAGGGTTTTGTTAATTTAAGACTCATGCTATCAAACACTCAGTTCTTTCCTCCTTTTTGTCTCTGTTGCCTTCAGCTTGTTGGGTTTTGTCTTCAGGTTTTCCTTCTCCTGGTTTCAAGAAGAGATTGTATCGAATGGTAGCGCGGTGGCAACATCATTACACTTTACACTACAATGTCCTCTGAACACCCCTCCTCCACTTCCAGCAGGTTCCTTCTCTCACCAGAGCGTCTGGAACTGGGTCAGAGACCCACTCTTCAGCACCAATGGCAGGTGGTCTGGGAGCCACATGACTAGAGCAGACCAATCAGGATTGACCTGATTATCATTTAGAGAAAGAATTGACCACCAGTTAAAAATAGGGCTCTAAACATAGGAAAAGAGAGAAATGACTGCTTGTGTAGCTCTGTGAGGTGCCCTTCCTTGATGCCTAGGATAGTGATGGTGAACCTGTGCCACACGTGCTGCAGGTAGCATGCAGAGCCCTCTCTGTTGGTACACAAGCCAAGTCACCCCAGCCAAGGTTTGACAAATTACCAGCATGTGAACAACAGCAAAGATCACATTAATTATGCAAAAGCATGCCACATGCAAACTTTTACCTTTTACCTTTCAATAAAAGAATTTGTATCATTGAAAGCTCTGTTGTGTTTTTCTTTGAAGACAAAAAATATTAAAGTGTGAGTTACTTTTTTCTAAACAAAAATCACAGCATTCAGGTTTAATTGCAGTGTTGGCACTTTGAGATCAATAAATGGGTTTAGGTTGCAGTTTGGGCACTTGGTCTCTAAAAGGTTTGTCATTACTGGCCCAGCAGATGTGTGAAGAAAGAAACCGATTTAAAACAAAATATAAGGCTGGTGGTGAAGCTCAGTGGTAGAGCACCTGCCTACCATGTGCAAGGTCCTGGGTTCCATCCCCAGTGCCAAAACATACAAAAACAAAAAAAGAGAAGCAAAACATAGAATCAGTTCCCCGCCTCCAATGACCTCTTGGGGCATATGGAGTCTTTCCTTCGAGAGCCTATGCCATATGTCCATGTCTATGTGTGAAGAGAGGGCTGTCTGGGGCCACTGTTTCTACCCCAGTTACATCAGTGCGCAAGTGGGCTATGAGAACAGTTTGTGTATTTTCACTTAGGAAAATGATGTCAAGTGTGGTATCACAAAGACAGACAGGCAAAAGTCACACAGTCATCATTATCGTATTTGTCAAACTGTTGCTCTGAGGAACCCCAGATAGAGTCACTTTTCACCCACTGAACAACGTCTTGAGGTGGGGGCAGCAAATCAAGCTTGCCTGCCCACCAGCCAAAGAGTGACATGTGACCTGGGCTACGTCAAGTCCATGCTCTCAGGGCCTTGAATTGCGGGTGCAGTGACAGGAAGGTGTTAAAAATGGCTGGTGCCTACTCTTCCAGGGGCAGGGTGAGTCTTCCTGTTCCCCGCACCCACCGCCCCCAGCCCGCCCCAGCCAGCCGCTTTGTTCTGCGCCTGCTCCTCCAGCCTGCCCTTTGACACAGCCACCTGCTGACCGCGTCCTCACACGGAGATCTTCTCCCGCTGAAGTCTCCAGTTGCTTTTTGTTGCCTGTTGGATGCAACGGCTAACATCTATTTTATTTTATAAAGTCACAGGATGTCAGAGCTTTAAGAAATCTGGTAACTCATCTAGTTCAGCTCCCTGGCTTTACAGTGGAGGACACTGAAGCCCCTAGAGGTTGAGGATTTCAGCGAAGGTCACGTCACAGAGTTCCCTGGTGACAGAACTCAGGATAAAGACAAGGTTTCCTTCCCTCAGGGTAGTGCAGGCTGCTGCTTTTTCCTTTTTTTTTTTTTTTTTTGGTTTTTCTCCGGTACCGGGAACCGAACTCACGACCTTGCGCATGCCAGGCAGGCGCTTTTGCCGCTGAGCTAAATCCCCAGCCCCTGCTTTTTCCTTTTAGTCCCATTTTAGTAGAAAGCAGTCTCTCTCTCTCTCTCTCTCTTGTTCCCTCCCTCTCTTTCTCTTTCTTTCTCCTTCCCTCTTTCCTTCTCTTTCTCCCTCTCCTCCACTCCATAACTGCAACATTTAGTAGAGAATAGTGAGTTAAGAATTTTTGTTTTTTTCCCCAACCTGACAACTTGCTTTGTGTAGTGTAAAGGCTTACTTTGACAGCTATCCTTTCTGGGATTTAGCATGCAGCAGACAGGCATC